TCTTACTTGTTTACATTCCAATCCTCAAAATGCGTGCCCTTTTGTGGCAAACCTAGTGTGGCCTCATCACACCTGCTATTTACCCCGACCTCGTTCTTTCGATGGGCTTATCCGACTCGAGCCTCCAATCCATATCCCTCCATTGTCTCGTAGATCCGTTCCTTATCTTTCTGATTGACCGATTTCACTCGGGTCCAGCCCCTGTGTGCATTTCACTCTAGGCGCTATTTCTCAAGGCCCTAGAAGTAGGTGTTTTTAGGCCATTAAGCGAAGACGTTGTCAGTCTATTTCGAATAAACCAGTACAACTTTGGGGGCTTGGCAGTCATGGGGCTGGGCAGACGGATAAGCAAACCGTCACAGAATTTCAGCATTATGTCCAAAATACACTAGAAATCCAATTGAGATGCCGCATGCGACCAGAGATAGGCATCCACAGTTTGCTCAGATAATATGGGTTTAATCAAGGAGAGAGCCCGTGAAGGGAAGGCCTGATATCTGCAATCATGGGAATCAGCGCTTAAGCGCTCCGCTCAGTGAAGCGGCAGTGTATGTGCTTCTAGGGCATTGAGAAATAGCGCCTAGAGGGAAATGCACACAGGGACCGGATCCGAGTGAAATTGGTCAACCAGAAAGATAAGGAACGGATTTAAGAGACAATGAGAGGATCCGGATTGGAGGTCCGAGTCGGATAAGCCCATCTAAAGAGAAGGGACAGGGTAAATAGCAAGGGTGATGAGGCCACAAAAGGGCACAAATTTTGACGAGTGGAATGTAAACAAGTGAGAAGTTGTGATGGGGTGGCAGTGAGATAAGAGGGTAAAGAGTAGATGGATAGTCCAGTACATAAAGAGCAGTGATAGTGTAACCGTTTTCGGCAGAACGTTTGTCTAGGAATTGAAACGGATAATGGCAACACTCACGATGCCGGCGAAACGTTTGAGAATGTATCAAGTCCACTGTCAGATGCTGGGAATCCTGACAACTACTAGAGCAGTCGACTTCGGACTAGGTGCTTTCTACATAGTCGCCCTGACAAAAAGACCAAGTTGCGACAACGAGGTCAACCCACTTCTAAAAATATTTTCTTATAAATATTCATATACCATTTATGGGATTAAAGAGTTTATGCAAGTCAGCACTCCATACTCTTGCTAGAGTACAAAAACTGATAATCTATGGCATACTAAGAGAAGCATGAGCCATCTTCAGGAAAGATAACATTTTTAAAGGTTGGTCCTGTCATCACAGCTTTAGTAAGGTTTTCTACACCCTTTGATAGACCTTCTCACTGGCCCTGAATCTTAGGGCATCGGCTGTCATCGCCAACAGTAATGTTCATATAACGGTAACCGTCAAAGCACACAAAAATCAAATTGCAATATCCTTCGATTCCGGTGAAGACGTGCAAATCTTTCGTTTTTCATATGATAGAGATCATCAGAATAGGTTATTATTCTTACAACCATAGTCATACTAACGAGTAGGAGTTATCGTGACTCGTTAGCTTGAATATGGTTGTAAGAATGATACCCTGCTGTGATGATGTCAGTCATATGTTGAACGAACGGTTTGCACGTTTGCACCGAAATCGAAGACGATTGCATCGTAAACAGCGTCAACAAGAATGTTCCGGTGTAGCCAATCAGCAGATGGATTCGTGGAATCCACTTTCGAATCTCTTCACTAAATAATTTCATTCTAAATGGAAGTGAGCTCAGCAACTCCAAAGAAGGGCATAGGAAAGATTCTAACCCTTACCTATAGTGAAGATGATGAAGGCGTTGAGATGTCCGGCCATCTGATGTTATGGAAGTCGCCATTCTGCCCAAACTTGCTGACGAGTTGGGGGACGATTCCTCTGCTGAGGCAGATCTGGACAGGGCATCCAGGCTAACAGGGGGACCATTTGATATAGAAATAATAGGACCCGCTTGCATGGAGCTTCCCAGACTGGTGATAGTCATGTTGGCAGGCCCAATAATGCCGGAATCGTTGTTTATGAAGGTTCCAAGAGCAGTGGTCGGAATGGGATTCTGGGCGGGGATAGTGGTGGCAACTGAAATTACACTAGGGATTGTAATGTTTTCATCGTCTACCTGAGAGAATCTGGAGCCAACCAGGGTCGGAGGTAATGATGGAGATGACACAGCTACATAGTAGTAATAAGGATATGTTGTCAAGTCCTGGCTCGACCGAGTAGCCTCAACAGGCCATTCGACCGGACAAGGTACGGAGTCCGCAATCGTAGAAGTGGCAGTCGGGGCAGCAGAAATTGTCAAGGTGGTCGTCGAGACGGTCTCTTGGATGGATGTACTAAGGTCAGACCCACTTTCCTTGACTGGCATACAAACCTGCTGGAAGGCCTGAAGTTGAGATGTGTGTTGATGCTTGTGTTGGTGCAGAGGTTGATGCTGACGCTGGTGCTGATGTTGATGCTGATGTTGGTGTGTTTCAAGCTGATGTTTATGGCGTGAGTGAGGGGACTGTTGAGAGCGTAGTAGAGATCCTCCGTTCCACATGGAAGAAAGAGTCATGCTGGCCGCAGAGCTATGAGGCTCTGACCTAGCAGAAATTTCGGCGGGCGGACTATGACCCAAATCTAGGAAACCCGGGCGCGTTAGTTCCCCTGGTCTTGAAGTGGAAATTAGCAAATCATAGCTAGTATAACATTCCTTAGTCTCGTTAACTTCTCGACTTATCGCCGTCAAGTTTTTCTTTAAGCCCCTATTATGTTCTTTCTCTTCTATTTCCTCTTCCCCATCCCACTCCTCATCTTGATCCTGACCCTCCTTTGCATCCTCCTCATCATCATCATCATCCTCGTCATAATCATCATCTTCACCCTCTTCCTCTTCCTCCTCCTCCTCCGTCTCCTCGTCCCCATCCTCATCCTCATCCTCTTCTTCCTCCTCCTCCCACTCTCCAGTGTCATCCTTATTTTCTTCCATCAGTTCAACTTCTTCCTTCTTACCATCGCATTGTTTGATCTTCCGTATCTTATTTTCAGTCTGCTCATTCTTTTCTCCATCTTGTCCTTTCATCGAGCCGACACCTACCGGTATTTCGTCACCCTGACCCCTAAACATGCTTTTCCTTTCATTATCCGCGTTGAATCCACCTAAAGTGTCTGTCGTTTTCTGCTCTCGAGATGGGAAGTGTCGATGATCACTCAATTGACTGAGCAACGAAGTGCGGCAAGGCGTCTCAACCGCTTGACAGAAATCGAGCCAGCCCTCGGTGCTCGCTTCCTGCTTGTCCAGTGCCATGATGCCCTGGAGCCAGTCACTTGGATGTGGCGTTGTCGCACCAATGTCACTTATCGATCTAGGCTTGGTGACCTGGCCAACAGTCACCTCAGCAACTACGTCGGTGGATAGGAGATTAGAGATATGGTCGCTGGTCGAGGCAGCCAATTTAAGCAAGGATCGTGTGTCGCTTGTTGCTGCCATGAGAGAATGAGCTTCAGCACTGCTAGTTGGGATCTTCTTCTTGGTCTTCAGACAATCAGATTGGGCATGCTCATTAGTTGATTCTTCGTAGTTAGATGGGAAGGGGCCTTTGCAATTGTCCAAAACAGTAGGGCAGATTGTATGAGCGGATGGAGCTGCTTTGGCCTGGGAGTATCGGTCTTCACAGCTTTCTTCAGTCTGTGACAGATCTGTTGTTACAACTTGCTTCCATTCCTTCTTAATGGCTTTTGGGAGAATGTTGTCCAGCTTTTCGTTGAAAGGAGTCGGTGTTTGTCGTAGACAACTGGATGGTTCAGCAGCACTTTCTGACGACATGCAGGCCGGACCACCGAAAGCTTCTTTTACATCAGGGGTGGGAGTGGTATCAAGGATTTGGGCTATCATCGAAGTAGTGATGATATAACACTGGAAAAACGGTATATTCACAAGATTCTGGAAAGACGGGTTTGCTTTTGCTTAATGCACCAGTTCAACCAAAGGGTTGAATAAATGCTGTAGACTCAAGAGACAGAGGGTGCAGGCGTCTTCCAAATTTATCAGGAGCTGAACATCAGATGAGTCTAAAATTGAAAGGCAACAAATGCTGAAATTAGTCTCGTAAACCTACTTATAAACAAAAGGTATTTTA